ATTTAAATAGGTGGATAACAATTAAGGGAGTTTCTCTTATACTAAAAATAAGAACACTTGTATACTTAGCTTTAAGATACCAGTGCGCGGGTGACGTGCGCAACACAAATTATAAAAGACAGAAAAGAAATCAATGGTTATCTCTGTTGTAACAGGTGCAGGGGTAATAGAAAAACCACCATCCAGGGCACAAAGCAGCAATGGTTCAACACCGTAAAACCCTTATCACGTTACTAATATGGCTAGCGTTCACCGTCCAGCAAATCGATAGCTTAATCGCGTATGACTGTTCGGATTCACAGACTAATGTATCGGTTATCTCATTAAAAGACGTTCAACAATGCCCGTCGCCGGAGTCGGCATACGTGAGTGCGAAGGTAAACGTTCAAGTCATACAACGAAATGAACTAAAAACACAAAAAGTATGGACTTGTCTAATTGAAGTTTCGCGAGTAATGTTCTACTGTGGCATGCACAGCCACACGTCAATAGTTAACGGAGGTCTATCAAACACCATCCACAAATTGGGAGCAGAAGAATGCAAGGCGCTACACCGATATCAAGAACTTAAGCTGTTTCACCAAACCATAAGCAACATACTAATGAATGGTACCACTACAGCGTCAGTAACGATAGAAGGCAAACTAGATAATACAGGGTCATGTAAAGGCGTAATGTACCAAGAAAATGGTAACGTCTGGACAGATGTGGTCATAGTCGCATCAATCAAAGTCCTCGCCAGGGATTACTTAGCAGCAGTCAGCCTAGAAGATAACGAAATACATTTACAAGGAGGAATCACATGTCCATTTCTAATAGGATATTGCATGGATTCAACATTAGGAGAATCAGCCTGGTCAAGTTACGAACCAATAACTTGCGAAGATCACCTAAGCCAGTTGTACAAAGGAAATGCAGAAATGGTAACAAATAAAGCCACAATGGAAGAAGTCATAGTAGTAGAAGAAGGCACAAAAATATTTTCACTAACAATCCAAAAACGAGCAATGGTCTGCGGAATAGAAGTCTGGCAAACAGAATATCCAAGAATAATTATAAGCAAACAAAACGACGGAAGAGGCTTAAACCCAACAATGCCATTGTTACCACAAAATGTCAACCTCATGAACTATGTCAACAGTAAATTTTTGTACATAGAACAAGCATATAAAAGAGACATAGATCGATTATATGTAGATACAATACACCGAAGGTGTTTAATGAGGAGAGAAATCCTAAAGAATCGACTACTAATGGCACCGATACTACCAAACGCAGTAAGCCAACTGATGCAACATGCACCGGGATACGTTGGAAGAGTACTCGGGGAAGCGCTGTATATATTAAAGTGCACACCCAAGTCAGTAAATATAAGAAGAACAAACAAATGTTACCATGAGCTACCAATACTAGTCTCAAACCAGTCTAGATTTATGGCACCATTGACAAGGATCATACAAAACCATGCAGAAGAAGTAGATTGCAATCAGTTGATTCCGCCACTATATTTCCTAGATGACCAATGGATAGGATTAGCACCACATCCAACAGTTTCGACTCCACCAAAGGAGTTAGCCGTAGAAGCAGAACCTAACCTGGAATTTTCTCCAATCCAACCAATAGGCGCCCAGGGCTTATACACCCAAAAAGAAATAACAGAAGCTCAACGAACTTTAACATTTGGAACTGAACAAAAAGCAGTACAAAATATTTTCGCACGTCGAGCGGCAGGAATGGAAGCAAATAGTCAAGGATACTCCCTATCAAATATGTTTGAAGCTGCGGAAATGAAAAAATTAGCTGAATCAACCATCAAAGAATTATGGGGATGGTTCTCCGAAATTGGAACATTTATGAGTGGTCTCATAGGATTCTATTGTATATTCAAAATAATACAATATACTTTAGGGGTAGTACTAAATGGCTTGCGCATCTATCAAACTTTAGGATGTGGCATAGTCATATTAGCGAGTGTATGGAATACCCTAACGTCTTGGGTCATACACAGAAAACAGAGAGAAAAGACTCTCAACCCTGAAGAAGTGAAGCTAGAAACAATAACAACCCTCGAACCGGGATCCTCAAGGGCCTTAACGGAAGAACAAATCGCGGCGCGAGATCATTGGACTGACAAATGTAAAAGTGTCGAAGGGTGCTTAAATGGTAGTGACTCTAATCTTTTGGAAAGTAAAACATTAACCGGTCGCGATGAACAAAGTTAAGTGCGCGCGGTAGCAGCAGTAGCAGTAAATAAACAGTCAATCATTTTAAGGGCGAACACGCAGAAGCCATAGCAGTAACTAGCGAAAAGGGTAGTACGGCCATCAAAAAAAAAAAAAAAAAAAAAAAAGAAGAAAAGGTAGTGCAGTGGCGTACGCAAATATAAAGTAATAGAAATTGTAAGTGCGGGTCTTGTCAACTTTATTGTAGTAGGTTAAGTTTTAATAGTATAGAAAAGGTATTGGACTTGTAAGTCCCAATACTTTTATAAAGGAGGGAGTAGTGTAATAATCAGAGATTTCAAAGAAAATGTGTATAGAAAAAAAAGAACACTCAGTATAATAAAAAAAAATTGTATTAACAAGATATATTTCAAAACATTTTTATGCAATACGATAACATACGGATTTCGAAAGACACACGGGTAGCTAAAACAAAAAAAAAAGCCTTAGTCGGGTTTTTCTATGGGTTACAAAGTAAGTTCAAAATACAAGCGGATGTTACACAATTTAAAATATCATATTTTGTTTATAGAAGTTCATATAATTCACTAAAAACCACGTAGCTAAATGCAAAGCTGACTCAGCTTCTTGTTGAGCTACAAAACAGTACCTTTTGTCGAGACAACAAAAAAAAAAAAAAACAAGGAGCCCATGTTGAGATGGGTACGTCAGAAGGTGTGGCTAAACAAAAAAGGGACAACGTAATTGGTTAAAATTATTATAAACAAACGAGGAAATAATTTTGTAGGTAACGGCCATAATGAAAAGGGAGTGTTCATAGGTTTTGGCAGTGGAAAAATGAGGAGAATTAGGCAGTCGAGCTAGATCATCGCGGGGGGAGACGACTCAAGAAAAAAAAAACGGGCTCACTGGGATAACTAAATGTTTTATTAATTATTGTTTTTTTGATTTTTAAGAAAAAATTCGCGGCGCGACCGGGTTTTGTGTAATCTCGCACCTTGGTTAATAGTGTTACCTAACAGGCTAATCCAGAGCGACCACCTATATACAGGTGGGGATTTACAGTCAACCCTTAAGACGACAGGGGTAAGTCCATTGAGACAATAACTAACTTTATCTTTCGAGTTATATGGTATCAACTTGTAGCTCGATAAAAATTGTTTGAGCGATTATAATACTCTCTCCTTTTGCTGTAATAAAATAATTACAGATAGTTTTAGTTTATTGGGGACAAATTTGTAATACCGGGAAAATAGACATTCATTAGATTTATGACGTATTTTGTGTCGAATTGAATAGCCCTTAAATTTTGTGACAATGGTGAAATTATGTTAGATTTAATGGCATGTCACCGGCTTGTATCAGTTCTTTCAATTTTCATTTCAACATCGTAAATTCCATTTTATGAAGGGATAAACGATTTGTTATTTAGATAACGTTAATACCTTACAATTGAATCCATCGTCATAAACTTTGCTCAACTTTTTTTGCTAGGAACTCTGTTTAAGTTCCTTGTGTGTTATTTATCGAGTTTATTTTTATTTTGTTACGTCAATCTTTCTAAATTTCAATTTTACTCATTATATTTGTTTAATTTACCAATGGGTTTTATTTTAACCCCCATACACCCCAGTGAAAGTTATTAGGTGAAAAACCACTTAGTATCTGAGGAAAAGAAAACCATCAACTAACAAAAAAAAAAAGGTTTCACGCATTTAAGCCGTGACGAATCACGCCCTAATAGGATATTTAATTTGGTAGAAAACTATAGTGCCCAAACCGCTCAACTAGACTTGATAGACATCTAAGTTAGACCTATAAGTAAGTACCCTTTTCAGTTTATGTAAGTTCTATTTAAAACCAATGCAGGGTTAAAGTATAGTTCAGTCAATAAGTAGTATAGAGAAATAATACCCTCAAATAAGATAATAAGAGGGTAACAAAGCAGTTATTACACATTGGAAGTTGGCATACATCGCAGATTGTGTTCATTTTCTTTGCATTTTTTCTGGCATATGGTGCCCCATGTTCCCTGCTCATAGTTTTATAACAAATGTCACATCTTTTACGTGACAACTTTCTTGGTCCTTCAGCTTGCACTAACGTATGTCTGCGCCTTGATGTTGAAGGCCAGCCGAGTGATCCTGGATCCGCTTCATTCGCAGTTAGGTGCGGTCCACAGGGTGCATATATTGTTTTCAGTGTGGCGCTCAACGTGTTAATCAATATTGAATATTAAGAAGAAATAAATGTTTTGTAACATTTCAATGCTCTCTGCTGCTTTAATGAGTAGATCAACTGTAAAATGAACTAGCTTCACTTAAAATTTCTATAAAACCATATATGATTTTTACAACTATTAAAAGGTATTTAAATTTTAAGAGGTTAGTTCATATGTACCAGTCGTGAATTTAATCAATTTCGCTTTAATATCAAGGATTCTTGCTTAAGTAATTTTTTGGTACACCCGATTGTTTTTTTTTAAGAAAGTAGTTCAAATGTATCATTCGTAATTTTATTCAATTTTCCTTATATATTATCATGAATTGTTTCACAAGTGAATTTGTGGTAGTACATGTAAAGGTTTTCTGGTCATTATTAAAAAATTATTTCAAATGTACCATTAGAAAATTAATTCAATTGAGCTTTATATTTCAAAAATGTTTTCCCAAGTGATTTTGTAGTACATCTAAATTATTTCTGGAGAGTCTACCTTGGTATCTACCAAAAACACCTATGATGTAGATCTAAATGTATCATGTTTTGTATTAAATAGGTTGTAATAGATGATATTAAAAGACGAGTTACTAGTTAAAAAATATATTAAACATAGTTGTATAATGGATATAACGCAAAAAAATACTCAACAAATAAATGAAACGCTTAAATCTAGTCGTACACTTAAACAAATGTTTAAAGAAAGAAAGTTTAGGTCTTTTACAAAATACATGTAAAACAAGACACAAACAAACAAAAAGACATTAGAAAATTTATATGAGATTATAGATTATCATTTTTCGAACATTAATTGAACAAATTGCCGCAAAAGACCTAACAGTCTGTAAATAGCCACTATAATGGTAATAACGTAAATGAGTAAAAAGTATCGTTAATATTTTGATAAATCAAAGTATAATAAAGACTAAATGTTAATAAAAATGGTCACAGGGCAATGATCAGATCCAAATACTTCCGTGCGGTAAACCACGTCGCTAACACCTTTTATCATCTCTTCAGAGACAATGAAGTAATCTAACCTCCTGAAAACAAAAAAAATATTTTTAACATGAAAATGCTTCACAGTAATTTTCAAGAGAGTAGTTCAAATGTACCACTCATAATTGCAACGAGAAATAATAAATATTAAGGAAAAATTAATGTTTTGTAACATTGAAATGCCCTCCGGTAATTTTTATGACTATTAAAATGCTTTCAAGTACATTTTTAGAGATTAGTTTATATGTACCAGACGTGAATTTAATCAACTTTGGTTAATAACAAAAATTGTTACCTAAGGAATTTTTTTAGGACACCTAAATGTTTTCTAGTCATTTTTAAGAAAGTAGTTCAAATGATCAATTCGTAATTTTATTCAAATTCCTTTTTATTATCATGAATTGTTTCAGAAGTAATATTTTGGTACATATAAATGCTTTCTAGTCATTTTTAAAAAAGTAGTTTATGTGAATCATTATTATTTAAATTCACTTAATGTTATCAAGAACTATTTCCAAAGCGTTTTCTAATTTAGTCATGTATATAAAATTAATTTAAATGTACTCGTCGTGAATTTAATCACAAATGAATATTGAGGAGAAATTAATGTTGTAACATTGAAATGCACTCTGGTAGTTCAAATTGACTCAAATTAACTAACTTCACTTAAAATTTTTATAAACTTTTTTTTTACGACTATTAAAATGTTTACATTTTCCGAGATTAGTTCATATGTACAGGGATATTCATTATAAATTACCCACCCCTTATTATCGTTATTATTGTCTATAGAAAAAAAAGTTTCAAATAAAAGTTGTGTGGTAATAACTGAATTTTGTTAAAATGCTATCAACTATACAGTGGCGTGCGGATTTAAAGGGATACAAAAATATAATATATTTTTTTAATGGGACACCCTGTATATTATTACATTTTTGGATTTGTCATTTTTTTCTGATTTCAAAAATATATAATATGTCGAATATCTTAGGTAACTTGTTACTGCAAATATGAAAAAGTTATCATTATTAAAGTAGGCTATGAAAGTGAAGCAGTATATCTAGCTGCTCTTCCTGGTTTGCTTGAACTACACGCTTTTTTCTACTAAAACTGGAGGTGTGATTCACCTTTAGATAAATATTTTTGAACGTATTTTTTTTATTTGTTATTTTTTTCTGATTTCAAAAATATATAATATATTACCCGTACCTTATACCGTTTTTGAGTTATCATACGTCGAAGATCTTGTGTAACTAGTTACTGCAAATATGAAAAAGTTCTTATTATATTAAAGTAGGCTATGAAAATGACTACTATTATGTTTGAAATAATTAAAATGGTTTACAGTGAGGAAGAAAAAGTCCAAATATTTACTTGTTATGTGCAAAATACCAAAAATTAACGTGCAAGAAAAAGAGCATATTATTGTATCCAAATCTTCCAACACCATCAGAAAATACGTTCAAAAATATTTATCTAAAGGTGAATCACACCTCCAGTTTTAGTAGAAAAAAGCGTGTAGTTCAAGCAAACCAGGAAGAGCAGCTAGATATACTGCTTCACTTTCATAGCCTACTTTAATAATGATAACTTTTTCATATTTGCAGTAACAAGTTACCTAAGATATTCGACATATTATATATTTTTGAAATCAGAAAAAAATGACAAATCCAAAAATGTAATAATATACAGGGTGTCCCATTAAAAAAATATATTATATTTTTGTATCCCTTTAAATCCGCACGCCACTGTATAGTTGATAGCATTTTAACAAAATTCAGTTATTACCACACAACTTTTATTTGAAACTTTTTTTTCTATAGACAATAATAACGATAATAAGGGGTGGGTAATTTATAATGAATAACCCTGTACCAGACGTGAATTTAATCAATTTCGTTTTAATATTAAGAATTGTTGTCTAAGTAATTTTTTGGGACATCTAAATGTTTTCTAGTAATTTTTAAGAAAGTAGTTCAAATGTACAATTCGTAATTTTATTCAATTTCCTTTTGATTATTATGAATTGTATCACAAGTAATTTTGTGGTACATATAAATGTTTTTTAGTCATCTTTAAAAAAATAGTTCAAATGAATCATTTTTATTAAATTTCATTTAATGATATCAAGAATTGTTTCCAAAGTTGTTTTTGGTACGTCTAAATGTTTTCTAGTCATTTATATAAAATTAGTTCAAATGTACTAATCGTTAATTTAATCAATAATGAATATTAATGAGAAATGATTGTTTTGTAACATTAAAATGCTCTCTGGTAATTTTTATTGGAGAAATTCAAATGTACCAATTGACAGTTTAACTAGCTTCACTTAAAAATTCTATAAAATCTAATAAATGATTTTTAAGAGTAATACAAATACAAAGTAAATTTTAAGATATTAGTTCATTTGTACCAGTCACGAATTTAATAATTTCGCTTTAATATCAACGATTGTTGCCTAGGTATTTTTTTGGCACACATAAATGGTTATTACTCATTTTTAAGAAAGTAGTTCAACTATACCGTTTGGAAATTTATCAGTTTCCCTTATTCTCAATAATGGTTTCCTAATTGATGTTTTAGTACCTCCTAATGGCTTCCAGATCTTTTTTAAGAAATTAGTTCAAATGTTACCATTTGCAAGTTGCATCTATTTTATATTAATGCATTTAAATATCCTAGTCGGTAGTTAATACATGTCTGTGATCATTCTTGATCTTTCAAGGGTGTATCTAAATTTTTACTAATTTTTAGGAGAATAGTTTAAATGTACTAATCGTGAATTTAACCGATGTTACTTAATATTATCAAGAGTTGTTTCTTAAGTAATTTTGTTCCTTACTAAATGGTTTTTAATAATTTTTTAAAAAGTAGTTCAAATGTACCATTAGTAATTTTAACCAGAAATAAATATTTACTTGAAATACTCTCAGAGTAATTTTGCAATATCTAAATTCTAAAAGCTTTCTGGTATTTTTTAAATAAGTAGTTCAAATGTATTAATTGTATATTTAACTAACCACACTAAAATTTTTACAAATATTTAAATGTTTTTAAGTAAATTTTAAAATATTAGTTCAAATGTAACATTAATTTCAAACAGAAATAAATATTTCCAGAATAGTTTTGTAACATCTAAATTCTAAATGATTTCTGGTAATTTTTAATTGAGTAGATCAAATGTACCAATTGTAAATTTAACTAGCTTCACTTAAAATTGTTATCAAATGTACCATAGATAATTTTTATAATTATTAAAATGCTTTCAAGTGAATTTTAAGAAATTAATTCAATTGCTAGTACCATTTGTAATTTCAACAAGAAATAAATAATTGTAACTTGAAATGTTTCCTAGTAGATTTGTAATATCTAAATTATAAATCCTTTCGGATAATTATTTAGAGTAGTTTAAATCTACAAATTGAAAATTTAATGAGCTTCACTTAAAATTTCTATAAAAAGTTTAATAAATGATTTTCACAAAAAAATATTAAAAGCTTTCAACTGAATTTTAAAAAATTAGTTCAAATATACCACTAGTAATTTCAACCAGAAGTAAATATTTCCAGATTAGTTTTGTAAAGTCTAATTTATAAATACTTTCTGGTAATTTTTAAGTTAGTAGTTCAAATGTACCAATTGTAAATTTAAAGCTTCACTTAGAATTCCTATAAAATGTTTATTAAATAATTTTTGCGAATATTAAAATGCTTTTAAGTAAACTGTAATTTTTAAGTGAGTAGTTTAAATTTATCGAAAGCAAATTCAACATTTTATTACTCACCATCCCACATTCTTGGCCCTAGAATTCGACATATACGTCCAGAACGAATAAACATCCTTTTGGTCGGGGTAAAGATGTCTATAGACATCTACAAATCCGTCGGTCAATAATTCAGTCATGCCTTCTCGTTCCTCTTGCGTAAAACCAGCGCTTTTGGTGTTGCTTTGGGGCCTGGCCAGATCAATTGCATTATGAGATACGTTCATGTCGCCGCATATGATAACGGGTTTCTTTTCCTCCAACTCTTTTACGTACTTTTTGAACGCTTTGTTCCATTCCAAGCGTTTGGGCATTGTGACCAATTTTCGTCCTAAAATAGGTACAATTTTAAGAGAATAGTTCAAATGCAACCTTCGAAATGTAAACTATACTATATCCAGAAAAGTAAATAAACGGTATATGATTGTGATAGTAAAGAGGGCGATTAGAGCACCCCTTATAATTTTTGGACAAAGATATCTACAAAAGTATTTTTGTTATAAAATCCAAATCGTAAATTCCTTAAATTTCGCTAAATATTATTATGAATTGTATTTTGCGGTACATTTAAACATTTGTTTAACCATTTTAAAGAAATTAGTTCAAATGACATTACGAAATTTTATTAAATGTTATTAAGAATTGTATCAAGAGTAATCTTGTGGTACAGTTAAGTGTTTTCCTGTCTTTTTTAAAAAAGTAGTTCAAATGTATCAGTCGTGAATTTAACTAATTTTGCTTAATATTATAAGAGTTGTTTACTTAGTAAATCTAAATGTTTTCTAGTAATTTCTAAGAAAGTAGTTCAAATGAACCATTTGTAAATTTAATTAATTTTGCTTAATGCTCGCTTAATTTCAAGCGTTTGGGCATCGTGCCCGATTTTCGACCTTAAAACGGGTATAAGAGAATGGACCATTCGAAATATCAACTATACAACATCCAAGTTAAAGAAAAGTAAATACACGCAGACAACGTAATTGAGCTAGTAAACCTAGTAGCATTAAGGAGATTTACAGCACCCCTTATAAATTTCGGAAAATGCTATCTCAAAAAGGATTTTTGTAAAAAATTCAAATCTTGTAAATTCACTAAATTTCGTTTAATATTTTATGAATTGTTTACTAAGAGATTTTGTGGTACATCTAAATGTTTTCTAGACATTTTTAAGAAAGTAGTTCAAATGAAACCCACGTAATTTTATTAATTTCACTTAATGTTATCAAAAATTGTTTCAAAAGTAATTTTATGGTACATCTAGATGCTTTCTAGTAATTTAAAAAGTAGTTAAAATGTACAAGTGGTGGAGTTAACTATTTTTGCTTAATATTATCAAAAGTTGCTTCCTTAGTAATTCTTTGCCACATCTAAACGTTCTCTAGTCATTTCTAAAAAAGTAGTTCAAATGTACCAGTCGTTGACTTAACCAGTTTTGCTTAATATTAGGAGTTTTTTTCCTTAATATTTTTGACACATCTAAATGATTTCTAGTCACTTCAAACGAACTAATCGTAAATTCATTAAATTTCGCATGATATCAAGATTTGTTTAAAAAGTGATTTTGTTGCACATCTAAATGCTTTCTAGGTATTTTTAAAAACAGGAGTTCAAATGAACTAGTCGTCAATTTAACCAATTTCGCTTAATAGCAAGAATTGTTTCCCAGGTAATTTTTTGACACATTTAAATGTTTCCTAGCCATTTTAAAGAAAGTAGTTCAAATGAACCATACGCAATTTAATTATTTCGCTTAATGTTATCAAGAATTGTTTCAAAAGTAATTTTGGGGGTACATCTGCATAGATTCTGTAATTAAAAAAAAAGTAGTTCAAATGTACCAGTTATAGATTTAACTAATGTTGCTTAATATCAAAAAATGTTTCAAAATTGATTTTTTTGGTACTTCTAAATGTTTCCTAGTCATTTTTAAGAAATTAGTTCCAATGTAACACTCATTATTTTGTTCAAGTTCCCTTATATTATCATGCATAGTTTCCCAAGTGATTTTGTGGTACACATTTTTAGGAAATTAATTCAGTCGTAAATTTAATCAATTTCGTCTTAATATCAAGAATTGTTCCCTAAGTAATTTTCTTGGCACACCTAATTGTTTCAGTCATTTTTAACAAAGTAGTTCAAATGTACCATTCGTAATTTTATTCAATTTCCCTTATATTATCATGAATAGTTCCCAAGTGATTTTATGGTACATCGAAATGTTTTCTACTTATTTTTAAGAAAGTCGTTCAAATGCACCATTCTTAATTTTATACAATGTCAAGAAATAATTATTACATTATATAATAAACTGTACTGTACCTGCATTGGGTACATAGACGTTTACTAAATAGAACTTATCGAATTCGGCTGTGATGCATCTTCCTTCGATGTCTTGGTCTTCATTGTCGATGCCGTAAGTGACGTTTTCCGGTTCTTTTACGCTCAGCAAACCGACACCGGCGTAACCTTCTTTATTGCTAGAGCACCAATACTGGTGGTAATCTTTGAGTTGGCTCAGTTCTTCCGGTAGTTTTTCCTTTGTACATTTCGTCTCCTAGAAATATTATGAAAGTAGTTCAAATACACCATTCGTAAATTTAACCAGTTTTACATAATGTGCTATAGAATTGTTTCCTAACTGATTTTTTTGCACAAATTTGTTTTTAAGTAATTTTTAAAAGTAGTTTAAATGTATAATTCGCAAATTTCATTTAATATTGAAAAAAAAAGTGATTTGAATTGTGTCTGTATTTTCGCAAACCAGCGGATTGTATTTAACAGAAATAAAAATATATACCTGCATGCACAAAATATCGGGTCGCTCGTGCTTTAAATATTCCATGCATCCCTTCTTCACCCAACTCTTGAGTCCCCCAACGTTCCAAGTACTGATAATCAAATTATGTTTGACGCCGAATCCGTTCTTTGCATGGCAGCTAAAATCTATATCGTTCCATATGGTATCAGTTTTATTTTGAAGCTCTTTTACTTTCGGCTCGTTGGTTTTTTCTTCGTCATTTTGAAGATTTTCTTCTACTGCCTTAGGTTTGGCCTTTTTCGTTTTGCTTTTCTCCTTTTCGACATTTTCGTTTTGAAGATTTTCATCGGAGTTGGTTTTCTTAATTTTAACGGTCTCCATTTCGACGTCGCCATTTTGGATATTTTCTTCTACCGCCTTAGGTTTGGCCTTCTTCGTTCTGCTTTTCTCTTTTTTCTCGGCATCTCCGTTTTGAAGATTTTCATCGGGTTTGGTTTTCTTAGTTTTAACGGTCTCCATTTTGTCGTCGCCATTTTGGAGATTTTCTTCTACCGCCTTAGGTTTGGCCTTTTTTGTTTTGCTTTTCTCCTTTTCGTCGGAATCTTCGTTTTGAAGATTTTCCTCGGGTTTGGTTTTCTTAGTTTTAACGGTTTCCTTTTTGGGTTTGCTCTTTTCCAATTTCTCTATTTTCTCTGCGCTCTTTTGCGCTTTCTCTTTCTTTGGCCTCCTTAAAGTGACGTGGTCTTCAGGGAGATTGTCCGGACTCACCCTCCACGATGGACCGGGTTGGGGCGATTTTGAAGTAGTAGAGGCTTTATCGATTTTTAGCGTTTTTTCCGATCTGGGAACCTTCTTGGGTTTTGCAGGTGTTTTAGATTCGTCATAAGAAACGACTGCTGTAATGATTTGAAAAATGTATATTTATTCCCAAAGACTATTGCCTGTGTTTTTGTAGGGCTACTTTTTAATCTGTTTTTACATGAAAAGTCATAGACATTTGCTAAGGTTGCATTCATATTTAAACAAGCATATGTTTTGAAGGTTTTATTTGTGTTTCATCAGCAAATTGATGTATTTCACAATTATTTACTTGTTTAGATATATTATCCGCTGTATACAATACAAACATTAATGGTCCCAGAATTGAATCATGCAGTACTCCCTTTGTGATTAGTCGAGAGCTTGACACTTTATCATCCACAGTTACAAATTGACATCGATTAGAAATATATGAATTGATCATGCCAACAGTATGAACAGCAAAACAATAGTAGTGCAGTTTCAACAGCAATAGCTCCCTTCCCAGAATGTCAAAAGCCTTGCTGAAATCCAGCAATATCGATGTTGCCATATCTCCATTATATCATCCAATATTATAGTCAAGACAGTAACGGTGCAATATCCTTTATGAAATCCAGATTAAATTATTATGGAATTAAGCTATTTACTGTAAGATATGCTACCATCTGAGTATAGATAAGTCTTAAGATTTTAGATAATGGTAATTTACTAATCGGTCTTAAATCACAAAACTGTTTAGGGTTATTGATAGGGTTGCCAGACGTCACGCTTTAAGCGTATTTGCCAAGCGCCACGCCAAAGTACGACTAAAACGCCATAAGGACCTGTAGTTTGATTTTATACTTGCAATTGCTTCAACTACATGATTTTCTAAAACAAACTTGATCAAAAATTCTAGATCCAGAAGAGTGCTGGACTAAAGCAGACTCTGTTTGACATTTTAAATTACCCACCGAGTTAATGAAGAATGCATTATTTATCTCTTCTGGGTCATTTAAGTGAGACGGAATGGATATATTGCTATTACTACAAGAGAACGCATTGAGTTTTTAATGAATTCCATGTATTATTGACACTGCCTGCTTGACAAATTTCATTTATACAGGGTCTCATTAAGAATGGGACATAGAACAACTGAAGATTCTCTGATTAAAAATAGGACGATTAAACGAAACATGCCTAGATAAAATATTTCTGATTTCCGAAATAAAATTAAAGTTGAAAATTCAAAAATTATTAATGGACATTATTTTTTTATTTCTCATGGTGTCATAAGATACATCTATCAGCAAAACAACCAAAAAACTTTGCCAGTGGCGTAACTGCATGGATAAGTAACACATTCATCTCCTCTAAATTGTACGCCACTGTCCAAAAACTTATTTGGACTATATTTTTACATTTTTAACAGACTTCATTCAAAACAGGAGAAGGTTCTCAATTTGTCAGAATATTTTTTTTATATATAATCAGCGATAATTCTTTACTACATTGTTCGATTTCTACGATTCTTTTTTTGTTAGAAAGGGGATACCTCAGGGGTAGTTCCGTATACAATTGGTTAGGATCTGATAATCTATGAAAAAATAAAAAATCTTAATTTTTTAGAACATCTGCAGGATTTTAAAGTTACTTTTATTTGATATTTTTTAAAATAACTCATGTACTATTGTTGGGTACCCATGTTTCGTCGTGTTGTAATAATATTAATAATAAAACTCAAGACTTTTACTAGAGCTTCAAAAAAATATATTTAGTCAACATGTCAAAACTAATGTCACTACTTTTTTTAATACCTACATATAGGGTTTAACTTAATTAATATAACACAGCAAAAAATGAGACAAACATAAAATACAGCAAGACTTAACAACTCATAAAGTGATTGGTTTTCAAGATATTCAAACTAATAGGTGGATTTTCTTCATTTTAATTTGGTTTTTTGAATTTAAAGCCTAAGTATTTGATAGAAGTTCCTTTTTGAATAGTGGAACACATGCAATTATTAGTTTGCAATGTGCGATGTGTTGTTTGATCGATGAAGTAATTGGCGGATTAGTGTAGTTTCTGTTTTGAAATGTAGGTCTTACCACATTTTTTCAGTGAAAATTATTGTGGTATCATACGAGATTACCTTGAAAATTATTATTTTTTGTTATACTATTCATGTATACAAGAAATAACAAGGGACCCAAAACTGTTCCCTGTGGAATACCCACTTTGACATAGCTAAATTTTATTCTTTGAACAGGATCATATAAGTAATTAGATAAACTTAAGGCTATGTCGTGTATTCCATAGTCACAAAGTTTGTTTAGTAGAATTTCATGGGAGACTGTGTCAAAGGCTTTGACCAAATCAAGGAATACCAGCAGTGCATGTCAATGATTCATCCAAGACACAGACTGCTTTTCAAAAAAAAAAAAATGAAAAATGGGTGTTTCAAAATTAGAGGTAAATATTTTAAAAGTGTATTTATTATAAAGGTAAAAATATGGCAGTTCAAATAAACATGTATACAAAAATGCCTTACAGGAAAAAACTCTGAAGATAGTTTTTGATAATATTTTCGAAACCGGTATCGATAAATAATTCAGATTTTAAAATGTGATAACTAGTTCAAAAACTTTATCCGTCTAACTGGGACGCCAGAACTAGGGGAAAGTGGTGTAAAAAAAGTACTAAAAAAAAACTAAGCCATGAAAACAGCAATTTACTTATGTTACATTTTAGTTACACTGTTCCCTACAAACAACTTTTTTCTAATTTTGACATATAAAGTGACATTTTTATAATCGCAACAAGTGTCAAAATGATGTACTTTGTGCAACCAGTTTCATAATGTTGAACATTATGAAACTGATTTCGAAAAAATTCATTATTTCACCAGTTGAGAAAAGAAAATAATATGCCTTTTTTGGTTTTAAAATTAATAATATATATTATTAATTATAATTAAAAGTTTACTTACATCAAAGAACTTATAAAGGACATAAAAATATAATTTGGTTAAACTTACAACTTAGTAATAATGGTGTTTAGGCTCCTTATTTTCCATCCTAAATCAGTACAAAATAATTAAAACACAAAATACACGACAAAATAACCCACTTTTTTAAAAACTAAATAACTTTGATAAGTCATACAGTGTGGAACAGCCAAATGGAATAAATTCGGTAATAAATGGGGACGTGTTCGGAAATACGCTCGGACACGTCGATTAATATTTTCAGTTGCGAATTTTTTTCTAACAAAAACTTTTTATACAGGGTTTATCATGTAACAGTGGCCAATACTTTCTTATTTTAAATACAACACCCTGTTATATTTTTCAATATTTGGATTGTTCAGAAAATTCTAGACATATTTTATGTCCTAAACCTGTTTCGGAAATATTAAATGTTTTCCGATTTATTGCAAAAATTAACATTAACAAAATAAAATTGATTACAGAAATTCGTTACAACACACATAGGTAAGGCACACAAATTCTTTGCGTTGATACACTAACTCCAGCTCACTGTATTGTGTCAACTCAATAGGTCTTTTCCTTTGCATTGAAAGTGTAGCACTGGGCTACACCAATTCTGAAAATATCGTTCCATATATACAAATTGTATGGATGGAACCAGAGATAACAGAGATATAAGCAGTCATTCATAAAATATAATATTCATGGTGCCAACAATAGTTAGTACTGTATATATTCTATTTATAGACGCGGGGCGAGGCGACGAAAGGTGAGAAGTAAGAGAAGGGATAGAGTGAAGGATTTTACGTAGTTTTATCAATGAATAACTGCCCGAGCTTATACTACATAACGTAAATGTCCATGCCGGTGTAAGCCCTGTTGCCACTTCCAATTTAACATCTCTAGGTTTTGGAATTTGTTGAAAATTATTACATCTAATTTAATGAAATTACATCTAATTTGGTTAAAAATGGCTATTTTTTGTTCTAATGCTCAATTAGGTCTTTGTAGAAAGTATTTTTTTTATAATTATTTAAAATCATTTACATTAGCCCTTATGGTCGAAAAAAAAATTTAAACGTCAATATCTCGGTTTCAACCATCTACAAATTTGTATAAAAAATGTTCTTTTAGAAATATACTTCTCATTTGACGAAAAACGAAGGCATAAATGAAAAACAACTATTCTTTATAAAAGTTTCGCCTATATATTGACAAGGTAAAAGTACTTTCGTCATATTTTTTGCTTTTAAATTAACAAAAATATAGCAATAAACAATTAGTGATGTCATGGTTTTACTAGAGAGCAAACATTAAAGGCAGAGCCTCTCGACTCTTTATGCATCTATCTCAGTATTGAAATGTATGCAATCAGTTTGGATCTCTAACATTATTTTATACAGGGATTATTGATTTTTCCACTATGAATAATAGGGTGTATTAATTACTTCAAGATTTTTTTTTATTTTTGGTGGAAAATGAAAAATAAGAAAATATAAACTATTAAAGGTATTTATTGAAGTATCAATTATAAACAGTAAGGCTATTGCTTTGCAAAATACAATAAATCCCCAATATAAATAAATTATAATAATAATAATAATAATTGGAAGGAAGTATATAAAGCATAAATTAATATAATATTAAAATTTATAATTACACGACTTTCAAACTAATCAGAATCAGATTCACCACACGAATCAACATTTTCCAAAACATTAGCGGCTGTGCCATACAGGTGCAGGAACCGATACAGCAAATATTTTTTTTCTGCATTTGCAAATTTTGCTTCCACAGTCTAAAACAGAATATTATTGTTAGAATATTGTATAGTATCTTTTTTGCATTTGCATGATGTAAGTTCTGTTATGTCTGGTGGCAGGTCGGACAGAGTCTTAAAAGTGGGTATCAGACTTCCATCTTGATCTACTTTCCATCCATACTCTTCAACATTAGGAAGCTGCATCTGGGTTTAAAGAGGTTAGCCAAATATTTAGCTGGTAAAAACATCTTAAACAATGTAGTCTTAGGGCGTCTTCAGTAGGTGGCAATTTAGCGATGGTTTTTGAAGAGGCTAATAATCCCCCCAAAATGTTAATGCAAGTAACATTGGCAGTTTTGAAT